GAGTTCATCTGGTCCCAAATGAGGCAGTGGTCATGTCCCCCCAGTGGTCTGGCTTAGTTACGGTTTACTATCGATCTTTTCAGTGTTCCATGCATAATGTCTGTTATTTTGACAGGTAAAAGAATTGTACTTGTAAATTTGATTCGTACTTGTAATGTGGCAAAGTTGTAACTTTTTAACTTGTATTTGTAACTTAAAAACTTGTATTCTCACATAAGAATTGTACTTGTAAATTTGATTCGTACTTGTAAATTTGATTCGTAATGTGGCAAAGTTGTAACTTTTTAACTTGTATTTGTAACTTAAAAACTTGTATTCTCACATAAGAATTGTACTTATAAATTTGATTCGTACTTGTAACGTGGCAAAGTTGTAACAAATTTATGTACGTTTATAGACTTACATGTACAAATTTCGACTCTTACACATACAATATTTCTGACAGTTGTCTTACCCGATAGGTTTGGGATTAGTGTCTTAAGCAGCACAAAGAAGGTTTAAGAAAAAGAGCAGGTGGTGAAAGAAAAGAATAACAGTTTTGTAAAGTTTCAAGTTGCTGGGAATTATCTAACTGAGAGGAAGCTGAGAAATTCTTCTACTCTTTGACTTTTAAACTTTAGAGCAAGGGTGGAGCCAGAGGGGTGCCACCCCTGGCACATGATTGGCCACTCCAGGTGCCACCCACAAATGATTGACAGGTGAGGTGGAGATCAAGTGTGGCAATTCTAAAAATGGGCAGTTCGAGCAAAAAAGGAGTAAATATCTTTCCAACAGCTGTTTTGTTTGGTGTAGAGGGAAACTATCAGTATGATAAAGAGAAAAACTTTTCTGAACCACTGAATTAAAATTAAGCAACCATAGTGTGTGATAATTCTGGCTTTAATAAAAACTGGGTGACATCATAACATGGAGCGACTAGAAAAGTTCCTTGAGAAACCTTGAGGAATGCCGTGTAACCACCATTTTAAATGTAAGACTTGTCTATAATGTTMGTGATCGAAGCTCACGCCACAGCAAATTTTATCTCAGCATGTCTAAGAATAGCTAAGCTTTAGTCATTCCAATTTAGGATTTTTGGATTTAGGATTTGGATTAAGATTTTGTTAAAGATTGTTCTTGGCTACAACTAAGTAACATTTCAACTGTGTACGTTTAAATATGGCTAAATTGTAGCCCTTTGAAAAAATAGCGCAAACAGATTAGCATGAGTTTGTATCCCTCTTTATTACACCAAAACAAAATTTCCACACAAGTTTTGATTAGCATTTAAAATGGTAAAAATTGTTTTCAGCTACTACTACTATAATTTTTAGTTTTATTTGTCTAAAAATAGCTCAATTATAGCTCTTTGTACAATTACAATTAGCTTGAAATTGTGACTAGCTTTAATTTTGGATCATTCTTAGCTGCAATGACACAAAATTTTAGCTCAATATTTCCTAAAACAGCTGAATTAGAGACATTTCAAATTAGCTGTGGTGGCCATCCTGATTTTTCAAATCTTGAGTAGTTTTAGATAACACCTTGTCCACCCTTTGAAGAAAGTCTAGCTCCGTCCCTGCTTTTGAGGTACTAGCTGGAGAATTATGTAACTTTTCGGTTGGGTTAAAACTGCTGCTTCATGTCTTTGTGACTCAAAATTACCTGACAAAAAATGCTGTTGGACTGTGAGCTTAAACAAAACAGTCATGGGCTGTTGGTGACTGGATGAAAGTGTCATGTCAGGTAAAGACATGGGGAAAGACAGCAGTCATTACATCTTCAGTAAATGTCAAAGCCTACTTCACAATTTTGGACACTTAGTTCCACCAGTTGAAAGGATGTTTGGAGATGATGATTTCATTTTTCAAAATGATAATACATTTTGCCACAGAACAAAGAAAGAAACTTTCCTTCAAAAAGGACATATAATGTCAGTGAAATGACCCGTAAGAAGTCTCAGTCTGGTTAAAATGACACCAGCAATAAGTGACAGTAGGAGCAGATAGATAATAACACTTTTGTTAGTTAGATCAACGCTGCAGAGTATTCAAACCTTTTTAAAAGTTAGACATGGTGCAACAATGTACTAATGTTCCTTTTTGTTTTCTTTACCAATACCTGACCAAAAAAGTAACGGTGTCTTCATATTTTAAAAGGCCAGAAGGTTCAAATTTTGAAAATTAATAGTTTTGTGGCACATGTGTGATTTATATTTTTAATACAAAACCAAACAATTGAAAGTAAATCTTACAAGAGGGATGATTCCATCATTTTCACTTGGAGTTGTATTTCCTCCCAGGCTTGGGAACAGAGATCACCCCGTAAGATCTGGAGACTGTTGCCAAAGAGAAGTTTAGGTTTTCAAACCAAAGATCAGCAGAAGAGAGTGGATAAAGCTGTAAGATACAGGTGTCGAATTCTGGTCCATGAGAGCTGCTATCCAGCGTGTTTTCTTGTTTACCTGCTCAAACACACCTAATTTGCATGAATGGGTGCTTGACAGGCTTCTACAGAATTGGAAGAGGTAACCGAACCACTGATCAGGTGTGTTGGAGTAGAGGTATAAGGAAAACATGCAGGATAGCGGCACTCAAGGATCTGAGTTTGACACCCTTAACCAGTGCTTAGAGTATTTAGATGACAATATTTTTAAAAGAAATTTAATGTGTTGAAAACAGAGAATGAATGATTTACACAAATTATTTTCTGTTGGAACTGATGTGTTGTTTTTATTCTTCAGGCGTGGAGTCTGGTTTCGTCACCCTGCCCCGTCTTTCCCGCTCTGAGCGCCAGCAGCCGTCTAACTCCACCCCCATGCCAGCCAACATCCACCGAGGGTCTCTGACTGACCCATCCGATGCCCTCCTGTCCACCTGCTCCACCTCCACGGTGACCTCCAAACCCACCAGCAGCACTGCGTACTCCGATTCCCTCCCTTCCCTCGCCTCCCTGGACGCGTTCACCTTCGATCTGGGCCCCTCCCTCTTCAGCGAGGTGTTCAGCCTGATTGACGGCCACTCGGACGAGTGCGTTCCCAAATCGGAAAGTGAACAGGAGCCACAAAGTGAAGGATCGGAGATGGGCTCGGCTACGCTCTCATATGTGGATTCCTTGCTGATGGAGGATTGCCGCGGCGGGAAGAGCCCACGTGCAGCCGACTTCAAAGAGGACGAAACTGTGATGAAGGTGAACAGAGTTGAGTTCTCCGGTAAGGTCCCGGATGTGTTGATTGGGTCTCCTGATCGTGCAGGGGTAAGGATGGAAAGTGAACGGTTCCGGAGCGCTACAGATGTGCTCGCTTGTCACTACGGCATCAGCTTCTTACAGATACAGAACGGGATGGAGTCTGGAGAGCCTGAGCTCGTTGCCTCGAGCCAGCCAAAGAAAAAACAGCCCTACAGTTTCATGGACGATGAGGATGAAATCAAAGTCTGACACAAACAACTCAAAAAACCATTCCTTTATAATTCCAATCCAACCATAATAAACCTTTTATAATCATATAAACATGACATGAATTCCAGTATTTTTAATCATTGCTTCTTATTTTCWATGCATAACTGCTTCAAGGATGTACAGTTTGGGTGCAAACGTTTGGCTGAATGTATCAAAAAGGACAAAAAGAGGCTGTTTTTCTGCCTCGAACAGAAAGGAGGTATGGAAAGTGAAGATGTGCTGGAGAAAGTGGTCAAGATCGCCTGGAGGGAACCAAAGACTTGACTCAGTGTGGAGCCGGTGATTTACGCACTTCCTCTTGTTTCAAGGGGACGTCGCTGCTGAGAACAAAGGGAGGAAGTGCAGAGAAGGAACCGCACAGCAACTCTTTGCGCTTAACTTTACTCTCAGGAATAATAACATCAGGAGAGGAAAAAAGGGAACAGAGCAATAAAACGTGGAATCTTTTATATTACCTCTAATAATTCCAGCTTCATATGATAAATCAGAGGAAAGTAGGTAATTACACTACATGAACTAAGTATTGTTTCTTTTGAAAGATTTATAGTTTATGCTGCAGAGCTTTAATATGCACCTTTTTTGGAATATGAAGTCTTGTATTTTTTTAAAAGGAATACGTTATTTTATATAACTGCACATGAAAATATTAGCTACTATGAATATTACAGTATGAGTGCAACTCCCATCCATATACTGCAGTTGTATGTAAAATGAATAAATGAAATGACAATAAGGGATGCTTTTAATATGATGTGCKTTAATTGACATTGTTTTTACTCCTGGGTAAAGGAATACTGAATCAATAAACATCAAAGAAAAAAATGTCTAAATTTTGTATTTACAATCTGCTGCAAGTTAAACCACAATTTAGCCTCTCGATAGATCTTGCCGTACTTAAACTAATACCTTTGTTTTAGATGTTGATGGAACTTTAAATCTTGAAGAAAAAAAATCAAAACTTGGATATTTGCATTAATTTATTTTTGGTATAAAGTGATTTCTGCCATAAAAACATGAAAAGCAAAGAAAACGTCAGAATAAATAAAAGATGTCAAATATGTGAGATGAACTTAAAAAAAACTGCCAAGTTTCAGCTCAAACAGCACAATGTATCCATGGGTACATCACAAACCGGAGATAAAAGTTTGTAAATTAGTTGTGTTTTTTCTCACTGTGCTACAGAAGGAACCTCTTTGGGCTGTGAGGGTGGAGGCAGGGGTGGAGGACAGTTTGGGGCTTTGACTCCCTGCCTTTTCACCGGAGGCTTTTTAACGCTGGGCTGCGGCACTCGGGGTGCGGGTTTTGGCCTCGTGATTTCGGGGGCTGCTCTCGGGTTTGGAGTTGGGGTTGAAGCTGTAGCTGTAGCTGTGGTTGGGGGTGGAGGAGCCTGACTTCTGGGTGGTCCTGGGGCTCTCGGTTTGGAGAAATGAACGGTGATCTCATGAGCTTGGTCCGCTTTTGTATTGTTGAACGTTCGCTTTGCTGTATGGCAGTAAGAGAAAGAGAAACAAAGCAGCCTAGTTATTAGAAATTACACGAAAACATACATCTAATGTTGAACAACTTATCCTGAGCYCCAGTGGTGAGCATGGTTTCACCTGTTGGCTAAAAGCAGAACTATTTTTCATTCAGACAATTAGCTTTTTCACGGACTTTAAAGCAGTTTGCTTCTGCTAAATTAACAGTTAAGTGATAAACTAACATGAACAAGTTCAATTCAGTTCAGTTTATTTATATGGCACCAAGTCACAACAAACGTCTCAGGGCACTGTGCACAAAAAACAATATTGGGCCTCATGCAAGAACCGTTCGTACGCACAGATTTGTTCTTAAATTGTGCGTACGAGTGATTTAGGAGAATTTGTGGCATTCACCAATGTTTTCGTATTCTAAGAATTTTTTCAGATACGAACAAAATTTACGAGTGGTCCAGACCTGTCGTATATTTTACC